ATTAAATGTAATTATGTAGTTGTTGTTGTTGTTGTTATGTGCCGTCGAGTCAGCCCTGACTCATAGCGACCCCTCCTTGGGTTTCCGAGGCAGTATCACTACGGAATTATGTAGTAGGTCTGGATATTAGGGAGTACTCCATATTGTTAAGTAATTTGATTGTTTTGTCAAAAACATACTTACAAAGTCTCCAGGCTGGAAAATGTTGACCAAAATTGAAGCATGTCAGCCAATCTAAAAATATGGACAATGTCCCCAAGGCCTCATAGCATATGTTCATGCTACAGTTGCCAGTATAGGAATAGAGAAGTTTGATAGACATCAGGAGGGGAAAGAGGGTACAAGGAATGTTTTCCCTGCTTTGAAGCTTTGCCAAATCCCTTGGTCTCCAAGGGGAGCTATATTTCTTGCATATGGAGTCTGGGGAGTCATTACCTCTCTGCCTGGATCACAGCCATCCGTGTAAAGCTTTCTCTTTCTTCCAGCTTGCAGGGATCCCGGTGTTCTGTTGCCTGTGAGGACGGATGGTACTTTGATGGCCAAGACTGTCAGCCCTGCCACCGCTTCTGTGCCACTTGTGCTGGTACCACATCTACCCCCACTCCCCAAGTCTTTTCCTTTTTGCTTCTGGTTCCGGTTTTATTTTTCTAAATCACTTAGGCAACTCACTTGACCCGTTTAGAATTAAACATTGGAATTTCCTAGAAATCTCTGAAAAGCATATTTCTCCTTTGGTCATCATGCAACTATATCTGTACTCTCATTGACAGTCAAACAATCATCAGTAGCCTATCCTCTATGAGAAATGTAAATATCCCCCAGGGTACCTTCTCTTTAGAGATTTAAGGTTTCTGGTAGCATAGTGCCTAACGCACTGGACTGCTAACCAGAAGGCTGGCGGTTCAAACCCACCTGCCACTCCTCGGAAGGAAGGTTGGGCATTCCTAGTTCTGTAGTGATACTGCCTCAGAAACCCAAGGAGGGGTCACTATGAGTCGGGGCCAACTCGATGGCAAATAACAACAACATAACAGGCTAAGTTTAACATGGGAGTTGTTGGTTTTGTTTTGTTTTGTTTTTTGTTTTCCCCAAAAGAAAATCAAAAGCACAGATATTAAGTTACAGTTCTTAAAATCATAACACATTACTGTTATCTTCACAAACTATTAAAGAAGAAGCCCATCATACAATGTCTATTGAAGTTGTTCCATCCCCCCCACCCCATTTCCTGTGTTTGCCTTGCTTTTAAGGGGCAGGAGCTGATGGATGCATTAACTGCACTGAGGGCTACTTCATGGAGGATGGGAGATGTGTGCAGAGCTGCAGTATCAGCTACTACTTCGACCACTCTTCAGAGAATGGATACAAATCCTGTAAAAAGTAAGTGGATCTACCCCCGTGGTTCTAGCATTTGATTCCTAATTCCTTATATGGCTGCCTTCATAAATAATATGAAAACTTGGATTTTTCACATGGTAAAAAAAATAGATAGCACTTTTTTTAATTCCAATATTTACATGTACAGTTCAGTGATATTGATTGCATCAATCATGTTGTACCACCATTACCTTTATCCATTGCTAAATTTTCCATCACTGTTAACAGATACTCAATGCTTCCTAAACAATGACTTCTTGTCCCAGGTAGCCATTAATAAGCTTTATTCTGTATGCATTTGCCTATTCTAGATAGTTTATAGAAGTAGGATCATATAATGTTTGTCCTTTTGAAATTGACTTACTTTTCAAAGTTCATCCCTATTGTAATACATATCAGGACTTCATTTTTCTTTATGGTTGAATAATATTCCATTATATGAATATACCATTTTTTTTTTTCCCATCAGTTTATGGGCATTTAGACTATTTCCACATTTAGTTATTGTAAATAGTGCTGCAGTGATCATGTGGACCTATTGGTAACTCTGTATTTAACTTTTTGTGAACCTCCCAAACTGGACAACTCAGAATTTTTAATGATAAAATAAGGTTCAAATATTTACAAATTAACACTTCCCTATGACTTTAACCCAATATATCTTTGATATTTTTATTGTCTCAGGTGCATTTTTAAATCCTTAAAAGTAATATTTCTTCAAATACCTGCTATATCCCCTTTAACATCACAATTCCTGTCTGCTGGGTTTTCTTTAATGTTGTCAAATATATCAATTACCATCAGAAGAGATTTCTGTGTCATCTTCAAAGGGAGAATAAAGTATTAGATATTAAGCTGTTGCAAGTCAACATCCCTTCTCCTGTGCTTGATGTGAGAAAGGATAATCATGTATATTGTTTTCATAGATGTGATGCCAGCTGCTTGACCTGCAATGGTCCAGGGTTCAAGAACTGTACAAGCTGCCCCAGTGGGTACCTGTTAGATTTAGGAATGTGTCAAATGGGAGCAATCTGCAAGGATGGTGAGTACAACTGCTCATTTTGATCTTCTCAACAAATGTCATCTTTCTCTTCTGAGGTCTAATATATTTCCACTTAAAAGAAACCATCAGGTGTGTGTCAGATAGGACATGGCCAATATCTTGTTGGCATTTATTTCTCTTGAAGTTATACCCTCAATGTTTTTATTTTTTTATTATTTTAAGAATTAAATAAATCACCTACAATCCCACTGGTCAAGACTGCTACAGTTAACTTTTGCTGTATTTCTTTTTGCCTTTTTCTGTAATTTTTACCATATTTTTAAAATACCATGTGCTTTGAGTTTCATATCCTACTTTTTGCAATAAGCATTAGGCATAAACATTCCAAAGTTTCAGAAAACTTCATTTTTAATAACAAGCATAATTTTCTATCATGTAGAGATGCCATAGTTTTGTTTTGTTTTTCACTATTTGTTTTTTCACCACTTAAAAATAGTTTTTTACCACTGTTTTACCACTATTTGGATTGTTTATATATATGATATGTAAATGACATAGCTGTGGACATCTGTGTACATAAGTTTTGTTCATGGTTAGGATTATTACCTATGGAAAATCCTTGAGAATTTTTACTATGTGATTTTTAGTATTCTCAATTGTAATTCACTACCATTTAACAATCAAAAGTGTTGAAATGATAAAATAGATGAATCTTCCTTTTTTCTAACCTATAAATAGAATGTACATAATTATACTTAATAATACTTAATGGGTTACTGATGGAAATTAAATCCTGAAACCAAGAGAATGAAGAGGAATTACCCATTTGTCACAAAACACTCGTTGGTAAAGTACCTAGATTTGTCTGAATGAATCTATTAGTTTACAGACTAGCATGGCAAAGTAAATAATCAAATGGTAGCTGAATTTTTTATTAAGCCTGTGAAGCTGGGAATCAATATTTCAATTTTACAGAAGGAAAAACCCAAAGTGTCTCTACAAAGTGATCGACCCAACTGTAGAACTTAAAACTTCTAAATGTTGATCCACTTTTCTTTCCTTTGCACCATTGATTGGTTCACAACCAAGATCCCAGGGCCCCACGGCTCGCCCAAAGATTACATGGTCTGGGGTGCAGCCTGAACATGGCTATTTTTAGAAGTCCTCAAGTGTTTCTAACATGCAGGTAGCTTTAAGAGCCACTACACTATCCCATCCCCCCAACAACTTGGCAAATGATAAGTTACCTCACTTCTAGCCTCAGTTTTTCCATCTGTAAAATGAATGGATTAAAGTTATTCCAGCTCCAACATTTTGTGAACTTTGACTCCTGACTTCCTATATAATTCATCCTGAGGGAAGCTCAAATTTGTGACTAAATGTTATGCAAACAGTACATCTCAAAGGTGTGGAAAGAAATTATTTTAAACCATGGTTATTTTATATATCTTTGGAATCTTATGAAAACAGAAAAATAAAAAGGAAAGGAAAGATATGAAACAGTCTAACTTGACAAGATCCTTCCCCTGGATTTATTCTTTCCCTTCCTTTGGCTGTTTCCTCTTCTGGGAATCTAGCAGGTGGTGGAACAGTGCTATGGATAGGAGAATGTGGACTCCGGAACCAGACCGCTTATGTTCACATCTGAGCTCCAAACCTTGGGAGAATTATGAACTTCCCTGGACCTTACTACATGAGAGTAATAGTGCCACCCTCATACTCTTAATCTACAACCCCCTGTTAGGAATCTCAAAATGACACCTGTGATGGCACTGATAGAACATTATGGTCCGTAGTCTTGTTTCCATGGAGCATCAAAGGTGAATTTTTATCTTCCTAGCTTTTCTAAAGGAGCTCTGGTAGCATAGTGCCTAAGGCACTTGACTGCTAACCAGAAGGCTGGCAGTTCAAACCCACCAGCCACTCCTCGGAAGGAAGGTTGGACAATCTACGTCTGTAGTGATACTGCCTCGGAAACCCAAGGAGGGGTCTCTACGAGTCAGGTCCGACTCGATGGCACATAACAACAACAACAAGCTTTTCTAATGTGTGATTGGTATGAGAGAAATGAGCCAGACCCCTCCAGGCGCTACATTTTGAGAGTTTGTTGACCAGAGCCAGTCCTGAGTGCACGTACTGGGGATGAGAGGAATGGATGTGGCACTCCAGGGACCATGTAATATCATTTTTAGTTATCAGCAAGTGCCTCCTTACCTTTAATTAAAAACATGGTTTCCCTATATCTGAATATGACTAGAATTTTCTTTAGTTAGCTATTTGAAAACTAAAGAAGTTTTTTAAGTAATTGACCCAGGAAATCCAGTGTAACTTGAAAATTTCACCCACAGTCCTTGTACTGGGCATTTCAAGATTTGTGATGCTTTAATTGTATTCCCTAAACCATGTTAAGCATGGGAGAGAGAAGTTGTGCCAAATGTCACTGGTGAAGGTAGAGTATCAGGATTGTGAGCAAAAGTGGAAAACAAAGAACCACGATTTGTGATGAGTCCTTTCTGCAATTTCTTAAAGAATGAGATTATCAAAAGCTCACCAGACTTTACAAATTACATGGGAATTACATTTAAGAATTTTTTTTCTCACTCAACTATCATATTTCAGTGATTCTAAGACACATGCTTTTTTTACATTTTCGCATCTCTGAAATCAAGTGCATCATATAATTCCTGTCATTTTTCAGTTGCTTTTGATGAGCAGGTTGATGTGACATAGTTGTCATTGCCTGGATATGGGCTTAGTCAGAGTTCCTGTATTCAGCAGATAAGGCACATAGTTACTACTAAATGTGTGGAACTCAACTGCAATTCAAAGCACTTCAAAAAATTAAATTATTATTCAATATTCAAAGAAAGAGTTCTTCTGTAAACACAGAAACAAAACAGCATGTTATATATAACAAATACTTTCAGGTATGCAATGAAAATTCTGAGTGATAAGAAAATATAGCTTCATGGCTTAATAAACATTTTTTCCTTTGTAGTACTTAAAATAATGTAGCATCTTAAATCCAGTGTCTTAGATTCGATGAAATACACTATAAATGACTATGTACTCTTCGCTGTAGGTAATTCTAAAGAGTAAAACTTCTTGCTTATATTATTGTTGGTTTCTAATTTATTCTTTTTCTAATCTTTTCTCCCTTCCCAAATGGATACCAATCACATTTCCTGTTGGAAACATGCTGTTGGCTGAAATCACTTTGGGTGGACCAAATTTCCTCCCTGTTGACTGCTCCTGAATGACCTCTTCCAACCCCCCCAATCTGCCTTTTGACCAATCAAACCTTCTTCCATGAGTGCACATCATGCTGCTCTCGTCCTCAACTCCCCCTCTCTCTTGCTGACTTCCTGGAAAAGCAACGGAAGAGTCCTGGGCCGAAGGAGGTTTCTGTGTGCTAGTGAAAAAGAACAATCTGTGCCAACGGAAGGTTCTTCAACAACTTTGCTGCAAAACATGTACATTCCAAGGCTAAGCAGCCATCCCAGATTTCTTTGTTCCTGTAGACTTATAGATTACTCCATATTATTATTAAAAAAAAAAAAACAAGCAAAAAAAAAAAAAAAAAGCAAGCCACCTCTCTCTTTTTTGCTCTCTTTTGCTCTCTCAAATTTGTGCAGGGAGATGGTGAACTGTTTTGTTAGAATTTAAATGGAAAAATAATAATAATAAACCTACAACAAGCCTACCTTTTATAACTGGGTGTTTAGCACTAAACAGCCAGAACCACAGAGACAGTATTGTATGACCAAAGCATTTGATGCCAAAATTTGACGTTAAAGTAATGATTTGATTTCCTGCCCTGGTTTTGAAGGTCCTTTTTTTTTTTTTTTCTTTTGCATTTATTTGCTTGTTTCCCCTTTGAGATGTCTAAAAATACTTTTCAAAAACTTCGCAAGAGCTTACATAGATCAAAATGAAAGAGGAAGAAAGCTCTTACACCAGTCATTTTTCATGCTTGTGTCCACCACTGGGGGAAATGTCAGGAAACTGGACCTGAGGGCATTAAGAACATCCCACAGAGTATTCAGTGTCATTTGTCTTAGTATTTCACAGTTGAGCATTGATACTTTCCACACTTAATTTACTTCATGCATTGCATGCCAGTTTTTGCATTATTCTCACTTGATAAGTCTGCTCCACTGGTTTCCTCAGATAGACTTGCTGCTATTGGCTTTTCCATTATAGATTGGGTTATGTTACATACAGCTAGTCAGATGGGATCACTCTATATAGTTACGTTTGTGATGGGCTACATAAAAGAGCTAGACTAACCCAGATCCCCTGAAATCCAGAGTGTTAACTTTATGGACCCTGCACAATCTCTTGGTGCTACCTAGCCATTATCCCCATAGCATTTTTTTTTAAGGCCATCAAAAATTCCATTTGTGGTGGTGGGAAGCATTTTGGATACGATACAGGGAATTTATTCCTGGAGTCAAAAGTTTCTAAAAGGTCCTATCTTTTTTAATAAATGGAATTTATTTAAATAATATTTAAGCCCATGCCAATTTGGCTGGGCAACATTTTCAATGGTGCTTATTAGCCGTTTTTCATCTTGTCATTTTAAGAAAATAAAACTGGAAATAGAAAATGGGCAGCATGATTGTACCCTCTTGGTTCTGTTGTTTTTCCACTTCTCTTCCCTCTATAATCATGCTATGATACACCTGTCCACTGAATGTTGTTTTCTTTGAAATATCTTCACTGGTTTTCTATGACTCCCTAAATGCATCATGGAAACTAGCAGACAGAATTATGAGAAAACTATTTGGGATCTATGGTCAGAAAAAAAGCAAGACTGGTAGATATTTTTACCAATTCTGAGTTTTTCTGCTTAGAGGAGTATAGACAAGTATCACGTTTCTTCATTTTTCATATTGAAGCTCCATTGATGAACTCATTTGCTTTGGAAGTGACCAGCCCCCATGTGGACTTTATGCTTCTCAAAGCCTCACTTCCAAAGTGTCACTGCCTTCACAACTGAGGAGAGGAATGGTATTAAGATAGATTATCCTGGGAAG